GAGACCAGTTAGGAAGCTGTCTAAATGGTCTAAGCACAAGGTGACGAGGGCAGTGGCAGTGGGTTCACAGAGAATGCAGTTTTGTTTCTAGTTTAACAAGCTATGCTAGTACCCTTCACTACTACTTCAAGATAAATGAGCTATTTCATCTAGATGTTTAAATACATACTGTATCTGATGCTAGCTAGATGCTCACCACATCCGTTTCCCATTTCTGGATACAGAGCTAAAGGACATTTCCCAGCCCCCTTGCATCTAGGTGGGGCCATCTGACTAGTTTTTGCCCTTGGGATGTCAGAGGAAACGATGTATCTCTTGCAGGCTGAAACATGTACCAGTGGGTGTGCCTTCTCCATATCCTCTCTTTCTTTGCTTTGTATCTGAAGTCTTGAGGACACATATTGGACTTAATGATGGCAGAGTTGCCAAGTAGAAAAAAGCCTGGATTTCTGACACACATTTTGGAGGACAGCCACTCAGGTGAATAACCAGATAAGAATACCTGCATTGGACTTTGCATGAGCAAGAAGTGAACTCTAATTGTGAGAATTAAATAATATAATGTAATTATATATGTAATTTAAAAAATTTTGAACATAAGACACTCTGCTAGACACTGGGGATTCAATAGTGAAGAAACAGGTAAGAAGTCTGTCATTACGGAATTAATAGTCCATAGGTGAAAAAATAAGTAATAAGTAATTATAACAAATATAACAAAGTGTAATCAGTGTTATGCTAGACAAAGAATAGGTCACTTTGATTACCCAGAGTGGAAAACAGGTGCGGTTCACCAAGCAATTTAATGAAACTCAGTTCCACGACACTTCGAATACCTACAATGTGCCAGACATTATGCTAAGTACTCAGTATGTGGAAATAATAAAGGCAACGTTCTAGTCCTCATAGAAATCATAGTTAGTTAGAAGAGTCAGACATTAGCATCCTCAGCAACTGGTACTTCACTGGTTTGCGTGTAACAACAGAAATCACTACAATGTAGTGAAGCAGCACTGAGGCAGGTGTAATAAACTCTCTGTAGCATAATACCGTGAGATAGTACTTGACGTGTTTTCTTCCTGGTTCTTCCTTTTATCCTGTCTTTGGGTTTCAAAGTCTGTGCTTCATGAGGGAATGGTAAAAACTGAAAATATTAACATTAAGTTTTTTTTTTTTCCTTTTTGTCTTTTTTCGTGTCCGGCAACGGATCGCAACCATCAGTGTTGCGCCCGCACCAGACCGGGACTGGCAACAGGATCGCAACCCTCTTTTTTCCTTTTTGTCTTTTTTCGTGTCCGGCAACGGATCGCAACCATCAGTGTCGCGCCCGCACCAGACTGGGACTGGCAACAGGATCGCAACCCTCGGCGCTGCGCCCGCACCTCACTCAGCCAGTGAGCGGGAACTGGTCTGTATGTGGGATCCGAACCCTTGGCGGGAGCGCCACCGTGCTCCCAAGCGGCGCACTGTAGCAGTGCGCCACCGGGCCGGCCCTCACATTAAGTTTTAAAGAATACCTGATGAGTAAGAGCTAGTCTATTATGCTCTCATTCATTCATTCAATAAATATTTATTTGCTGTTTACTATGACCAGGAACTGTTTCCATGACTAGATAAGAATTTCTGAGAAGGGAGTTAGAGAAAATTATGGAGTGAACAGACAATGTAGATCCCAGAAAAAAGGGTCTTTGAACCCCATACTTTGGGCTGAGTTGTGGAGTTGGGAAGAACAATGGAAACCTCAGATAAGTCTGGGGGAGTCAGGAGCAGAGAGAATGTGCATCTTACTTCCCTGATAGAGCCCAGGGAGCCAGTAACATCCAGAAGTGAAATGGTAATGAGGTACGTTTAGCTGGTGACAGGCAGGAAGAGAGTCTGTAATCCAGCAAACTGTGAGAGCAGCAGGATGTGCCTAAGAATGGTACAGAAATAGACAAGTCCTAGATGGCCTCATAGAGAGATGTGTGGTGAAGCTGGGAGAGGAAGAGGAAGAATGATCTTATCATCATGTGAGCTCACCCATGGCCTGAAAGCCATTTTAGAGCTAGACCTAATAAAGTCTTGTGATTAAGACTGTGGAGCAATTCACGAATCATCTTCAGAGACTGGTAACAGTAGGCTGGATGGGAATGTGGATGTTGTAGCAGAAGCTAAGGAGGAGGAATGATGACCGTAAAGGCCAGATATTTCACTCCTTCTCACTCCCACTCCTGATATATTTCTTTCTGGAATTTTGATAAAAAGTTGGGTGAAAAAAGGGAGAACCCTAAATGTATTGAAATTATATTTTCAACCCACAGTAAAAGTAATGCAAAATATAATGTGAGTTATAGGAAAAAAAACCAGACAGCTTTATTTCTTGCAGCGCTGAATACGTAAACTGAGATTTGTAAGCACTACAGCTCTCCAGGAGGTAGTGGGGTTCCGAGAAGCCTTCCTTGGGGAGGAAATATCTGAACTGGGATATAAAGACTGGATAGGAATGGGCCAGATGAACTAGGGAATTAGCAGGAGTTGCAAAGGAATGGGTTGCTCAAATCCTGGATTCTGAAACACCTGGGGGTGCTCCCTAGAAGAGTTATTAGTCTGGCATTTTTGGAGATTGTGAACAGAGTAGTGAAACTGAGAGGTGAGCCAGAAGGGCACAGATTAAAATGGACCATTCATACTATGCTAAATGAATGATTCATCTTTTCACCAAACATCATGTATTTTGTTTTATCCATCTATATGGTTGATGGAGTTTGGATGTATTGTCCTCCCAGAACTCATGTGGAAAGCTGATCCCCAATGTGGCAGTGTTGGGAGCTGTTTGAGGCACGGGGGAAGATTCTTCATGAATGGATTAGTGCTTGGGGGGGCGGGGTAGTGAGTAAGTTTTCACTCTATTAGTTCTAGTGGTCTTCGATGACATCTGTTCTAAATTCTGTATTTGTCACTTGGAATTTGTAATTCGTTACAAATGTTTATCATCACAAAATCTCTGGCAAATAGCAAACACCATCTTCTTAAATAATTTTTACCAGAGCATCTGAATTTATTTTACAGTGGTGGAGAGTGGTGAAATCACTTTTTGAACACACAAATAACAGAATACGTTCAGATAGGACTTTTCAGTTTATAATAACTTGTTTGACCCTTATAGGTGGAACAAAATAAAATGTGATTTTATTGAATAAAATGTGATTTTATTTTGCTCCACCTATAAGGGTCAAACAAGTGGAGCAAAATAAAATGTGATTTTATTTTGCTGATTAAAAATTGGGGTCCTTGACCTCTGCCTTCCTCTCCAGGCACATGCTACCGCACACCCTGCATGTTGACCATGTTATGACCAGACTGATCTTCTTTTAGTTCCTCAAATATTACAAGCTTCATCTTGCCCCAGGGCCTTCAGACTAACTATTCCTCTTTCATTATGCTTTCTCTTCCCCTAACACATTGAACTAACCTGTACTTGTAGATGGGTATAGTCCCTTAAAGTGATCACCTTGGGAATCCATATATTTATTTTTTTGATAATACTCTTGATACTACTCTTGCACTCTTGTGCAAACAATTTCAGGATTTACTTTTAGAACTTATTAATGAGCCATATCAGAAAAGCCATTTTTTTAGCTTGTACTAGCATTTTGTTTTTTGACTTAAAGTGGTAAAGTAATACTAAGAGTTATACCCTGCTAGGCTTTGAATGACTTTGTGTGCTTCCAGAAATTAAATCCATCTCTAGTGGAGGAAGGGCAGCTGTTGAACGTTTTCAAAAAAGTGAACCATAGTTTCTGCAGGTGATTGAAATATGAACCCCTGAAATGTTTTAGGCAAAGGAAATATCACTGAAATAAGTGTGCACTCTTCTGATGTGGCTTATTTGAATGTTCGTGTATGTTTATTAGAAAAGCAGCCTCAGGGGCCGATCCTGTGGCTCACTCGGGAGAGTGCGGCGCTGTAAGTGCAGCGGTGCTGGTAGCGCCGAGGCTGTGGGTTTGGATCCTATATAGGGATGGCCGGTGCGCTCACTGGCTGAGCACGGTGCGGGTGACACCAAGCCAAGGGTTGCGATCCCCTTACCGGTCACAAAAAAAAAGGAAAGAAAAGCAGCCTCATTATCTTAAAGTTACATCTGATGGACTCATTGGTAAAATGACTTAAAGTCGTGTATGTTTATTAGAAAAGCAGCCTCAGGGGCCGATCCTGTGGCTCACTCGGGAGAGTGTGGCGCTGTAAGTGCAGCGGTGCTGGTAGCGCCGAGGCCGTGGGTTTGGATCCTATATAGGGATGGCCGGTGCGCTCACCGGCTGAGCACGGTGTGGGTGACACCAAGCCAAGGGTTGCGATCCCCTTACCGGTCACAAAAAAAAAAGGAAAGAAAAGCAGCCTCATTATCTTAAAGTTACATCTGATGGACTCATTGGTAAAATGACTTAAACAAACCTATTTTTACTCAAATACATGGTCAGTAAAACCAAACCACTTGCTCTTGAAACACCCACAAACACAACAAAAACAGCTATGCTGGTGAGATCTAAGTTTGTCTGTAGAACTCAGTGATTCAGACTAGAATCTCTTAGATTATTATATTTTAAGCTCATTGACTACAAAACAAATATGGGATAGTCATTCTTTAGCCACTGAGTCACTGTAGATAAATCAAGATAAAGGAATACATACATTCCTTGGGGAAAATCTCTCTTTTGGACTCTGTAAAGGATATTTTAGCTCCAACTTACACTGCTTTCTACTAACAAGTAGAAAAGAAATCAAAATAGAGTGATCCTGAGAAACTCAAACAGTTCAATTTTGCCTTTATTTGGGTAAACATGAATGTTAATAATTTGAATAAATCAACATAAACAAGATATTTTTTGTATTTTATTATTTTTATATAAGTGATAGAACCAACAAAAAAAATCGAAATAACGGTACAATCATTTGTTCAAAAGGAATATTCATCAAGCAACATAATTGAAACAGGGTGAACAGAAATTCTCATTTAAGATACCTTTGAGTAAAATATTTTCAAAATGTATAGCTTCTAGTATTTAATATTGCATTAAAGCACTTTTTTCCCAGCACTCAATTCATGTAACTAAAAGAAAACATAAGTATTTTCAACAAACGAAAATAGATATATAATTTTTATCATTGTTATGATTTTTAAAAATAGGTTTAAAAATTGAATGCATTTGATTCTTAAAGGCTTTTGCAAAACTAATCAAACAATCTTCTAAGAAAGGATTTCTTGGCAGGAGTCAAGATTTTCCCAGAACCTTTTTTGCGGAGGGATTTCATTGGAGGCTTTTTTAAGGGTAGGACTCTTTTGGGAGTTTGTAGTGCTCTTGCTATTTCCACATGCTCATTGCAATAATACTTGTTGCTTCCTTCTGACAGATGGATGAGCGTGCGCTCTGCCAGATCCATGCACTGGGCATGGACCCAGTGCCCATCTCCATGAGAGCAGTAGATCATGGCAGGTTTGTTGAGCTCAGTTGAATAGAATGGTACCCAAGTGTTGATATCCACATCACAAGTAGGGCAGCAAGTAATCCAGTAGCCTGTCTCAGACTCATCTTCCTCATCATCTTCATTATAGGTGTCAAATTCATCATTGCCATCAAAACTATTTGCTTCTGTACTGAAACAAAATTCTTCTGAGTCTTCAAAGGGAGTCGAGTCCCCTGGATCATCTGTTGATGTCTGACTGTTTGTAAATGTTTTATGATTTTCATTCACATCATCTTCAGTGCATTTCAACATATAGAAATAGAATGCTTCTGAAACAGCCTGTTTGTTGTCTCCCGGTATGCCAAGAAAAACAATTCCATTTCCCATGTTGCTTCCAAACCATATCTTGCTGTGCTTAATATCTGGGGTCCAATCTGGGGTCTCCATCTCACGAATTTCTATCTTATTGTCCTCTAAACAGATGATGTTGCAGACCATTCTTTTTTGATTTTCATGCTGATAGCCACCAACAATAACAAATTCGTCATTATTAGTTTGAGTTAGGATTCCACTAGAGACAGAGATTCCCCCTGGCAAGACAGTGCAATTCACAGCTGGGCTACCCAGGGGGAGATCAACCCTTATTCTGTATAGATTGGCAGGGCGGATGTTGTTGGCAAGTGAATGTCCTCCTAAAATATAAATGGTATCATTTCTGGCAATGGAGACATGAAAAGATAGCCCATCCTGAAGTTCTGGAAGAATGTATGATGTAGCGCACCCAAATTCAAAATCCACCAGGAAAACATGAGGCAGGCAGTCAGCTACACTATTCCATTTTTCTGTGGTTCTTTGGGTAGAAGGCATGTAAGACCGTCCTCCAAAGAGAACACCCATACTTTTCCCTCGACTATACACCACATCAATGGAGTGACCATATCTGGCTTCAGGAACGTCTCCTACCAAGTCTTTCTCCGTGCACTGAAAAGTAACTTTTTTGTTGTTCTTGCAAACAACAGACATGACATAAATCTTATCTGAAAGCTCATTGTTTGGTGTTTTTCCTCCATGGATGATATACTGCTGCTGATCAGACTCCAAGCTGCTTTTGAATGTACAAGTGGCTGGGTAGCGAAGAGGAGGAAGGTAACAGGAATCCTTAGAGAAAGCTGCAGGCTTCAGTCTGAGATTGTTATGCTTTACATCAAAATGAAAAACTCCAGTAGGGCAGGATCTCCTGGGCCAGCCTTTTTGGCCAAAGAAGAAAACTTGCCCATCAAAATTCATCAATGAAAAGCCCGGCTGAATTAAGGCTATGTTATTATTGACTGTTATCATCTGCAGTGACATATTTTCTGATTGTGGGTAGATCTTTTATCTGAAAGAATTTCAAAATAAAATAACTTAGATTATCTCGTCATATAAATCACTGTGTTTAGGTTCCCTCACGTGTAAAAAGCATATTAAAAAGTTCTTCTAAAAGTTTGTAGTGGGACCGAATGAGCAAAATCCAGGGAGTTTGGTAAGCAAAGAGCCACAGAACCTTCTTGTTTAATACAATACAAACCACTGGGACATGTTTTAGACACGGACTGCCCTCCCTTAGATTTCTGGGAATTGTAGTCCTTTTCCTTAAAGACTCACCACTCGTCAGCCGAAAGAACTACATTTCCCAGGAAACCGTTCTCTATTCGGATGTGTAGCTACGATAATTTGTCTCTGTTGCGCCAGGAGAAGAAACTCCTAGGATGTCCCTCTGAAAACAGACACCAAAAGTGCGAAGTGACTAGATGGGAGCCAAGGCGGAAGACTAGGGAATGGGAGGTGAGAGAGGCTGACACAGACTCAACATCCGGGTTACGGAAGGCCGCAGCTCCAAGAGGGTGTCCGGCAACACCCTTCCCGGGTATTGCCGGAATCCCGACCGGGGATTCTTAAACAGGTGACCCTACAGGAAGCAGCCGAGTGTGGTAATCTGGAAACCGCAGTCTGAAGACGCCACGACGGAGGTGTCTTTATGGACTCCTCCCTGGACGCTTTGGAGCTTGGCTTATAATTGCATCTCTGAGGATTCTTGGGTTGCTGTGGCAGGGGATTGAGAAATAAATGGGCTAACATATATAAATCGTATAATACAATGCCTGGCACATAAGTACTCAATGAATATTAGTTGATACTATAATTTGTTTTTATTACTCCTGCAAAGGCTCCTTGGACCATTTAGAATCTAATGCCACTCTGATGAGATGTTGGTGGGGTTTTTGGCCTTGAAGCACTTCTGTGGAGCAGATGTAATTAATTGGTAAATAATATCTTGTATTTATGATTTTTAGTTTTCTTGGGGAAGTTCTCAAGGTGTGATCTTTTAATAATCATCTTATATGTTATTAAAACAAGTAAGATAATGGTAACTGAAAAGGATTATTACCAAAGTTAAGAAAGCAAGCCTCTCTCTCAGGCCATGGTGGTTTGTAGATTCAGCAACTTGCCCAGGTTATGAAATAACCTGGGCAATTGTTTTATTTATTCATATCCTATCCAAGTATATGTAAGAGAAGGCATCTGAGCAACTAAGAATGCTATCCAAGGGAACTAAAAAGAACTATTGTTGATCCTCAGTTCAGTAAATGAAAACAATTGGTGATTACACTCAGGGTGATGAGTGATTATTCTCAGAGAGTTGTCCCATTTTGGGTGGAGGGAGCACCAAAGCCAAAGCCTGCTTACTGCAAACACCCATGAAGACTGTTTTTGGGGTATGAAGCAAGCCATACAGGGGTCATGGGTTCCAGATTCAAAGGGGTTTTCCAAGAATGCTGCTTTTAAACAGCAAGCTTTTAAAATAATGTTTTCACTGTAACCCATTAGCTTCATCTTAAGGTTGTTATGGGGATTTTTGCTTTTCATAGGTGAAAACATGATTATTGTAGATTAAACAGAAACATTTTCATGGGCAAAACATGAGGAATATTGTCCATTTTTGAATCTTAGTCCAGGTCCCTAAAGATTTTTGAAGTAGAGTTTTTGACCTGTTATCCCTTTGGTGCTATGCTCTGGGCTCACTTCATAATTTCAGGGCCCTAAAAACAGTGGTAAAGTTTATTATTGCTGAGATCAGTTACCTCCTCTTGTAACACAGTTCAAATGTATGTATCTTTAATTTTTAGATTACTCATTTTAACCAAATGATTTATACATTTAAAGAATAAACAGGAACATTGAAAGTGTTTTTACATTATTTTGCTATATTTATTTGGTTTTCGAAATTTTGCTTTACTGACTTGAACATGCTTTTACTGGAGTAGAATATTGTATCTCCTCCATGGTTTTAATATGACTATGCTAGTCACATCTTGGTTTTTAAAAAAATTATATCAGATCTAAAATAACCTACCGAAGTGCTTTTCTTAAAATAGACTAGATAAAAACAGGCAGAGTAAAGAAAATGAGATATTGTTCTTCAACTGAGGGGAGCTTCAAAGTCAACATATTAAAGATATTTTTTTAAAAGACAAATACAGGACCCATAAACATGTTTTTTCCAACCTCATATTGACAATCCTCAGCAGAGAAATTTTCATTTATTCACTGTGAAGCTAGGGCATAGTTAAGTAGCAAAAGAGGTCTAATGGTGTAAGAGGTCTAATTGTGTGAGAGGTCTGGGTTTGTAATTTCCTGTGTCTGAACTGACTTTTTTTTCTTTCTGAAGATGCTGTTCTCTGAAGTATTAAGTCTTACTGATCAGTGCTGCCCATGTTTCTTCATTGCTCCAAAATCACAGGTAACTGCGGGCATTTAGTGCGTGAATTAATATTATCTTGCATGGTTAATAAGATTTGAGGCATACAGTATTTGATTTTTGCTGACAGTAAAACCAGGATTAGATCTTTCTTCCTACACTTATGCCACAGAAGATATGCTAAGTTTAATAATAGTGCTCTGAAGGCATAGGAATTAAATCCTTGCAGCAGCCGGAGAACAGAAAGCCCCACATTTTCAAAATTCTACATCATCCCTTCCCCATCTAGATACCCAGTCCACTTGTAACTGATGTGCTGCCAAAGTATGGTATCATCCCATTCTCTTAATGTTTATAAACATAGGCTCTCATCTTTTAGCTTTGGTAGAAATGAAGGTTTTGGACCTACCTGAAGGCCAGAGGGGCTTCTCACCCCTCTCTGAATCTTTGCCGCTAACCCAGGTATTAAATGTCAGCACTTGGGGAAGATTCACTGACTTCCTGCTGTGACTCTGGTAAGCAGAAGGCTGACAGTAAAGAGAGTGTGTATGTGTGCCTACAGATGTTCTAATGAACGCTGATCTAACTGGGAGTAACTGACTGTGACCTTTTTTTTCCTCTTTGCTTTAGATGGTTGAGGGAGATACCCACCAGGGGGTAATCTCAAGATTTAACTATTTCATTAGTAGCAACAATAGAAACACAATTTACTATATTTTTTTAAAGACACACAAAAAAATCTGGTTGAAACCTGATTGATTAAAATTAAAAACATTTTAGAAAAACGGAAAAGAATGAATATAATTACTATGGTTTAAATAAATACTATTGTAAATCAATTGGGAAATTACTTGTCCTAAAGCAGAAACCACTAGCATCAATGTTAGTAATTTTAACTTTGAATTGCTCTTCTGTGGTCTCATTTTCTCTAATGCAAGGCTCAGAGGAAGTAGTTCAAGTTATTGGAGGTCCTCTACCAACTTTATGTCAGGCAGCTACTATGTAATATTGTAATGATTAAGAAACATTAACAGTGTAATGATTAAGAAAATGGGCTTTGGGGTCAAGCTGACCTGCTTTTCTCTGCCTTCTCTGCCAGCTCTGCCGTTTTTCCAGGTGGAGTCATCTTAACCTTTCAGCTTTTGCTTCTCCATCTCTGAAATGAGGATAATAGAAATATTTAGTTCAAAAGATTGGTGGGAAAAGATTAAATGAGGTAATGTATGTAAAGCCCTCAGCCAAGGAAGATATTAAAATTCCACAATGACCTTGATAGTAAAAACCACCTTTATAATTTTCAATAGTTGCATAAAGTTCCATTTAGTAAATGTAATATAATTCACCTAACCGCTCACTACTATTGGTCATTTACTCAGTTTCCATGTGCTTAGATGATAGAATGTAGTGATCACAGGTAGGCAAATATAGGTTTGAGTCTCAGCTCCGCCACTGACTAGCTGAGAGACCTTTTTGAGCTTCAGTTTTCTTTTTTCTAAAATGGGGATGACACTTAATGTGAGACATTGGTACGTACTTTATAATAATTTGTTAGCCTGGACATCGATGTTTTATGCACTTTTCTGTACATGTGTTATTTTCTACAATTTAAAAACTTTTAAGAATATCATAAAAAAGTACAATAAAATGGGGACGATACCTACCTTATTGTAAGGATTAATGGATATAAAATGTCTGGTATGTAGTGTGTACACTATAAACCTTATCTGATGATGATGATGCTATAAATATATTTGTATAAGTTATTAATTTTTTTTGCAAAATTTTAGGATATATTTTCAGAGTTGACTTTTTTTTAAAAAACAAATGTATAGCTCAGTTGCTTGGTTGATTCTCATCTTTTGAAATGTTGATCCATCCTTCAAAAAAGCATCATCTCTTCCAGTTACTTCCATGATGATTTTTTGTTTGTCTGCAAAAGGATATTGGATTATTTCCCTCATCTATTTATGGTGTTATACAATGATTATGATACTTGAAATTACAGCAACGTTAAACAGCTCTCGTAAAGTTGACGTATTGGATATCTCCATGGTAAATACAAAATAAGAAAGGTAAAATAAGCCATGGGTAGATTTAGGTAAGGGTTTTACCAACATCAAAAAACAGGCAATTTGTAGCATAGCAATTAGTTACTGATTGGGTTAGTTGTCTCCTAAAGAGAGTGGAAATTGATAACGCATTTGGAAATGGGTTATAAAACTCTAAGTCCTTGCCACACCACTAGGAGAGCATTAGACTTGCAGTGACCCCAGCCAAGGTCCCTGATCTACCAAAGTTCTCAGCATAAAAAACTAATATAAGATAGTATATGTATGAATTCTATGCCTATCCTAATGCTGTGAAAAGTTGCCGCTGACCTTATTTCAAACACTTGTTAACTCACTGAGTAACAACGTAGCTTAAATTGTTTCTCCATTTATAAAATGGAGAATTTGGGAAAAAAAAAAAAATCACAGACACAGGTGTTGCCCATAAAGAACATACATGATAATAGGATAAAAAATCTTTTGATTGTGCCTTCCATTCTTCCCACATGCAACCTTTCTTAAAAGTTCTTAAAAGTTCATCAAGACATCACAATTATAAGTTACTCAGCCCATTCTTAACCCTTTAGGCAGAATCAAATTCAGACTCCTAGTAGAATATATCAATTTATCTGTTCTTAAAAAAAATACAGTAGACAATCAAAGAATACAAGATAGTGTAATTACAGAATAAAATAAGCTTTATTTCACAGGAGAGGTAAAAGACTTAGTAACATGATGTACTGACATAGTAATTGGACAAAAATGGCAACATAATTGGAAAAATGAAGATGGAAGACAACTTCAAACCTGGACCCTTTGTTTTTACATTCAAACTACTGAAGCCCAGAAAGGTTAAATAACTTGATAAGGGTAACACAGCCTTAGGGGTGGGGATGCAGAGGAGAAACACTGTTTTGTGAACTTAAGATAGTGTGTTTCAAGAAATGCAGTATACCTCTTAAGCACTTCTGTCCTATTTTATAAATGGAGAAACAACTTAAACCACATTGTCGCTCAATAAATTAACAAGTGTTTGAAATAAGATCAGTGGCAAGTTTTCATAGCATTAGGATGCGCATAGGTAATTATTAGTCTCTTAACAAGTGGCTGACTTTTAAAGAAATAATATAAATAGTATCAGAAAGGGAGATGTTTGGCTTGCTGAATGGATTCCAGAATAGGAGCCACAACTGAAATGCAAAGAAGAGAAAGGGGAAGGAAAAGGAAATGTATAGAAGGAAGCAATCAATCTACATTTAGTATGATGAATTGTCAGGAGAAGAATATGACAAGTGACTTCATTTTTTATTTAAAGCAATTAATTAAATATGGCCAACTGAATTAAATAGAATTAATTGGAACTTCCTATAGAAGTTCCATGCTCTGTGATTTAAGGTGGATTGTTGGCTTTAAAAAAAAATGAAGAAAAATTTCAGAGGAGTTTTGTAATATTGTGCTTGAAAAAGTTTACTTAAAGTTTTAGTTTTGGAGAAGGAAGGAATTTGTGATTCTTAATTTTTACTTTTGAGTATAGGAACCATGTTGGCAGAAGTAAATTATTTGTATGTGTGTGTATACGTTATGTTCTGTACATTGAGGCAAAATTGCAAATAACGTGTTAAGAGAAATGGGAAGCTGGGAAGTCACTGTGTTATCTCTTAAAACATATTATTCCACAGTCATCGGAATTTAGAATTAAAAATAGCTGGGAAACATATCTCTAAAATCTTATTTTGTTTAAGAGAACACCAAATGAAAAGGTCGATTTTATTTGCAAGATCTTGCATTTTGAAACACTTAGAAATGAATTTCTACAGGCAGAGTTGATTTAATTCAGTTGGTCTACACCTGCTGCTAACCAGCTGTGTGGGTTTTGCTTTGAAGTAGGCTTCCTGGTATTGTAAAAGTGCTGTGTGCACTGTGCAGGTGGCTGACAGGCTCATGAAGTTGGAGAGAAGAGGATAAGTTTAATTAAGAGTGGATGCCTTTGTGTCATAGTTGTTATACAGTACAGATAAGATAAGCATTAATGACATTGTATCTCATGTGAAGGTGGAATTACATTTGAACTAATAAATCTTTTATGATCGAAATATTATTGCATGATTATAGACTTGTAAAAGTTGACTCAGAAACCCTACTGCCTTATGGATTCACAGTCGTATCAGGGGCCTTGAAAACAACATTCACCAAAACACTCACATTATTGTCCATAACTCAGTGATGTAGTTAATAACATTTATGAGGCTAGTCCATCAGTTCTGAACATTGTTGAAATATGTGTATGGTAAATTTTTCCTATAAATGTACTAGGCTAGAGGTTGGTTAGTGTGCTTGTAAGAGTTTTGTTGGGGGTTGAAGGTGGGGTGTTTACATGTGATTACACACAACGCTAAATTTTTCAGAAAAGCAGATAAAGAAACAAAATGATAGTGAAGAGGCAATCTTCCTGATTTCAAAAACAATGGATTTTCTGAGATTTGTCTTATGAGTATACCCTACAGATTCCATGTATACAGTTAATCTGTTTTTAAAAATGAGAGGGAGTGAGTGGGAGAGGAAGTTCAAATGCTTAACTGTTTGCATTTTTATTTGTTTAGTGGAATTAGTAACTGTGTAATTGGAAACAGTCTAATACTTAGTTGACCTGCCTCAGTGAGTCAATGTAGACATTTCTGGATTGATTTAAACAGCTGGGAGGAAGAATATATTTTGGGGAAATAAAATTGATTTTATACAATCTGCTGAACAGAAAGGCTTAATTTAATTTTCTTTTTCTAAATCTCTTTTGCCTTAATCGGCTTACCTTTTTTTCTCTGCTCCCCTCTCCCCTCTATTAAATGTTTACTTTTGAAATAGTTATAGAGTCACAAGAGGTTACAAACACAGGTACAGGGAGGTCCCATGCATCCTTGGTCTAGCCTTCTGCAGTGTTAACATCTTGCATAACTATAGTATAATATAAAAATTGGTAAATTGATATTAGCACAATCCACAGAGCTTATTCAGATTTTACCAGTTATATATACACTCATTTGTGTGTATGTATAGCCCGATTATATCACATGTGTAGCCTTGCATTACCACCACCACAGTCAAGATACTCAGCTCTACCACCCCTATGAGTCTCATGTTATTCCTTGATAGCCATCCCATCCCCTTCCCCATCCCTAACCTCAGCAACCATTAATCTGTTCCCTATCTCTATAATTATGTTATTTCATGAGTAAATGTAATCATGTGGTATGTATGTAGCCAAAAGGTTGGCTTTTTTCACTGAGCATAATTTCTTTGAGAGGCTTCTAAGTTACTGAATAAATCAATAGTTTGCTCCTTTTTATTGCTTAGTAGTACTCCTGGATGTGGATATACCACAGTTTGTTTAACCATTCACCAATTAAAGGACATTTAGGTTGTTTCCAATTTCTGACTTTTACGAATAAAGCTACTATGAACATTTGTATACAAGTTCTTGCATGAAAGTAAGTCTTTATTTCTCTGGGATAATTGCCCAAGAGTGCAATTGCTAGTTTGTATG